GTAAGTCTAATACAGCACTAATTTTATACATTTCTTGTGAAAGAAACATTTCTTATTCAACGGCCATAAAAATTATTTATATTAATGATGTGTCCAAAGGTCAAGTTATTTTTCTGTGAAAAATTCGTTATCAGATATCGCGGCTGCCGTTTGGTGCGCTGTTCCGCGACGAAAACAAGCTTGAGCAACGGCGTAGTGGAACGGTGCGCACTCGGTAAGTAATCCTATAATTTTTTGTTTATAGCATAGTTTATACGGATTATTTCCAAAAAATTATACATGTTTTGGAAATGTTGAGTGGAATTAGTCTAGAATCGGTTAATTTTATAGAAGAAAACCTTTCAAACAGCCTTAGTCCGTAAACTTCCCACCTATCGGGCTGCGATTGGCTCATGTATTAATGATTCCTACAACGTAAAATTCGATTAACGTGGAATGTATCTAAGCGTTATAGGGGGGGTCTACTGTAGATTACTTCCTGATTATGTCAGTTTGGAAATCTGTGGCATATGACATTCTACTCTGAAAAATTGATGAATTTCATGCTAGAACAATAATGACAGCTGTATTAGAGTCATCTGTTGACATATCTTGACAGATCATTGTATCCTTAATCATGATAATTTGGATGATACTTCCCTGGCATAGGACTGTCTGTTCTGGTACCCGTCAATTAGTAGAAGCATAAATCTATTTTTAGAATAGATTAAAACCATTTTTAAAAATTTTTGTAAAGATCAAAAAATATTGTTAATTAATATTAGTATGTAGTTCATTCTTAACTACTGATGATATCACCTGCTGAGAACATTAGTGACATAACTGAAAATCAATAATTGAAGAGTTATGTTTACTGTGAGACACCCAGTCATTTACATTAAAATGTGTGTCATGTCATCACAAGAAATCTTCAAAACTTATTCAAATTTTTATGCTTTTGTGACATAACTAAAACTAAAATAATTACATACTAACTTGAAAGAAAAGAAAAATAAGTACAAATAAAAACGAAAAAAAATTTAATTGGATAACTCAAATAGTTGAGTAGGAATGAAAGATTGAAGTTTTGATATGAAAACAATTATCTGAAAATGACATTTTCAGAGTTAGGTCACTAATGTTCTCAGCAGGTAATATATACAAAAATAGTAAACAGCTTTTTATTGTATGCATTCACAGAAAATATTTAATATACACATTTAAACTATGGTTTAAAAATACTTTAATATTTTGGTGATTTAATATCAGAGTCAAATAGCCTCATTCAGATGACAATGAATTTGATTCAGTTGTGTAGATTTATATATATATAAATCTACACAACTGAATATATATATATATATAAATCTACACAATATATATATAAGTTTCATAAGATATATATATATATATATATATCTTACGAAACTTATATATGAAACTTAAATGAAAGTTCTCTTTTAAAGCAAAACTTTATACTAATTTTATTTTAATGAACAGCTGAAAGTAATTAACTGTTTATTGGTACTTTTTTCCCTGCTTATTTTCTTCTAAAACTTGTTGAAAAGTTGTTGTGTGTTATTTAATCATGGAAAGACAAGATACTTATAAACTTATCTAATTCTTATCATCTGTTGTATCTTGAAATGTATTTTGGCTGTTAGAAATAAAGTTGTCTTACATATTTGCATTTTTCTCACTATTAGTATAGTAGGTGGTGATGAGTTTACTGATCACTAAATTAATAATTACTAATTACAAGTATAAACATCTGAAACCCAATAGTTATATATTAAAGCCAAACAATTGCCGGATTATATCAGGTTACTGTAAGGTATCTTTTTATGCGGATTATTTTTATGCGATTTTGAAGTTGTGCGGTTTGTATTTCATCCAAAAATTTCTTGGACAAACATACATATAGGCTTGTTTAGGAAGCCTGCGTATAGACAGTCTCCAAAAATCATGGAACACTCAAAGCTCACTCCATTTGTTCCACTGACATATAACGTTTATGGATGTAAAGGACAGCTAGATCTACCTTAANGTAGAAAATTGATTTTAAAAAAGTTACATTTGTTTGTAATGTTTTTAAAAAATAAATAGTATTCATACTGTAATTGGACAATATGAAATTTTAAATTTTGAAATTTTATAATTAATGATAAAAGTTTAAATAAATTTGTATCATAGACAAACTTAAACAAACATCATGAAACCCAATACATTTGTAAAGCCAAACAATCACCAGATTACATCAGGCTATATTTCCACGATTATATATAATTGCAGAAAAGTAGTCCGATGTAATCCGGTTGTTGTTTGGCTTTGTAGACAAACTTGCTATACAAATGTAATTTATAAATCCAAATGATCAAAGATTTAAAAGTATAGAAGAATTTCATTTTGGACAAATAAATCTTCCAATCTTCAGGTCCTTTAAATTGAAAATTTTTTAAAAGTTGCTTTTTTTTCCTATTTATTTACATATTTTATTTCTCATCAGACATTCTATGACAAATAATTTTGAAGATTACTATATTTTCAATATTTTTGTTATGTAAATAACTCCAAGTTCATTGACAACTAACAAGTGAGTCTTGTTCAAATGACAAAATATTGGACTGGTTTCCAAAAGGTGATCTTTTAATTTGTTATTCAACAATTTCTTATCTTCAGTCTCTGATATAATTTAGCATTATAAATTATAATTTGGATAATTGGAATAAAAAGAATCTTGGATAAAAATGTTATAAAATGTAGAACAAGTAAAATTATTTTTTCACTTGCCTTAAAAATATTTTCATGTATAATTATTTAATATTAAAAAAAATCTTAAAACATGATTTGTTGTATCAAATTGATGTATGAAATTGCCATATGCTTTAAAAATTAATTCTGTGAAACATTTATTTATTTGCATCATACACAACATTGTTCTCTCAAAGAAAACATAGTTAACTTCAATGCATTTAACTTTGTAATCAGGTAATAAAATAATGCCATCATCAAATAAACAATATTATATACTACATAGCAATTATTTTAATATATAGAAACTTATATTCTTATATAATTTTTTATTTTCTCTCACATCAGTTAATAAGATTTTATTATTGAAAGTAAATCCATGTTTGATTGATTAAATATTGATTTATTTTTCATAAATTTTATTTCATTTATTGCATTTTTTAAAATATTTACATTAATTTAATTTTATAGTAAGTAGAATAATTTGTGAATTTATTATTAGGTAAGGATGGAAGTAAGGTTACAACAGTTGTTGCCACTCCTGGACAAGGTCCTGATAGACCACAAGAAGTATCTTATACTGATACCAAAGTTATTGGCAATGGATCTTTTGGAGTTGTATATCAAGCTCGTTTATTGGAAACAGGGGAAATGGTGGCAATTAAGAAAGTATTGCAAGACAAGAGGTTTAAGGTATACTTCTAAAACTTCATTACTTGACATTGAAGTAAATATTAAATAATGCAACGATTTTAATGAATTTGCATAATTTTGTTATTTGTTAATTAAAATAAATAGGATATAATCTTTAAAATAACAGTAATTAAAATAATACTATTTCATATTAATTTTATCTCATTATCATGTATTATTGTTTTGCTTTTTTTCTATTACTTTCATATTATTATATTATTACATTTCATAGCTATAACAACTATAGCTATGAAGAACTATTGTTTCCTTCTAAAATAATAATTAGAACAGAAAATATTATCTTACTTGCATATAAAAACTGTACTGTAATTTCTAAAAACAAGAAGTTTTCAAGAACAATTAAGATAAAATGTCTACTTTAAACAAAATAATTTATTCAAGAATTTTCCAAAATTTAGTAAAATTAGAAAGACAGATAGATAGCTACTGGCATTATTATAAATCATACTTAAATATACATGAAAATATTTTATTAGGCCCTTTCACATTAGATAATTATTTTTCAAGACTATGACATTGTTATTTTAGAAGCAACAAGAAATAGTATAATTAGGATTTAATGATAAATCTGTTTTTAAACTATAATAAATCAGCATTATATGTTTGCATTACTTTTTAAAATGACTATATGTAATCCATATGGATTATATATAGTTATTTAAAAATCAATAACAATGTAATCAATATTTCTTAAAGTACATATTAAAATTGTTTTCCATTAAATATTCATACTATTACAAACTTTATTAAAAAAGGAAGATTTCTATAAATTGAAGTTTTTATGAAAGTGATAAATTTTTTAAATTACTTACCGCATATTTCTGAATATAAGAATACCTTCAGATAAGACAAGGTATAAGTTTTTGCATATATCTGTCCTATAAGACAACCCCCAAGCTATCAACAGTCTATGAATTTAGTTTAGATCAGCAATCATCATCTGGATAATAATACTGTATAACGTATATGGAATTATGTCCTATTCATAATTTTTCGAGTGAAAAAATTTTATTTTCTTGCATCTGACAGCACTGCCTTCCTATTGTTGCAAATATTTGCGCTGATTCGGGCATTCAGGTAATGAATGACCTTGACTATTCACAAAAACATCTTATGGGCTATTCTGTTTTGTGGACATACCCTACTCTATATTAGTAAATAATTGCGGTTTGTCCATTTTTTACAATGGCTTTAATTTATATAAATTTCAATCTAATTTTTTTTGTGTCTGTTCTATAAGACGACCCCAGATTTTGGGGGCCTTCTTTTATGATTCAACTATCGTCTTATCTGCAGAAATATATGGTAATAATAGTTATTATAGGTCAGAAGAAAAAAATTTACATTAGGTAAGAAAATACTGTAATTAGTTACAGTTGTAATCATTTTTATGATACTAATAGTCCTATGCTATAATAAACAATGACAACAAGAGACATTGTTATTGGCAATGCATTTTTTGGATTGTTGTTATCCAGAGTGAGACTCATTCAAGATAACATCAGTTCAAAGTAAACCATGCTATATCAATTCACTACATCATTTAAGTCTTTGAATCCCATGATGTATAAACTTTACCAGCTGTCTTTTCTTTACATTCCCATTGCTGTTTGATTTTTTCCTTATATTTACTTGAATATTCATACAATTAATCTCATATTTCTATTTTCTTTAAAGTTCTAAGATTAGAACTTAATAAATCATTTTTTTTCTATTCATTACATTATACTACTAATTTAATTTATCAGACTAGCCAAGAAAGTCATTCTTCAAAGAAATGTTATGTAATGTTTGTTTGCATCACACTTATTTGTCTTTGCTAAAATGTGTGTCTGGACAAATTTTCTGTGTTAAAATATGTTTAGTTTGATGATCTTTTTTGATTTTAAATGTAAATATATTCTAATTTTAGAAAGTTAGGTAGTATATTTTATATTTTATATAAATTTAAATAAAAACTATGATAACTCAATGACTATTAGGCTGTGATCATATCTGTCTATCTTACTTCAAGTCATGCTTAATTTAGAGAGATAAAAGGCAGTGCAAATAATACTATTTCATGAATATTGACCATCTGTATGAATAAGATGAAAGATGTTAGCCATTTTTTTTTTAGAAGTTGATAGCTATACAGAAACCATATGGAATAAAGTTATGTATTGAAGAATGCATCAAGTTATGTGAAGAACCACTGAATTTTATATTACCTGTTTATATCTCAAATCTCATAAATTTATTATATTAACTAAAATTTATTAGGAATGATTTATAGTATACCTGAAACCTTAATGAAGGCTGTTATTAAAATATATAAAAATTAGTTAGATTATAACAATTTGATATAAATAAAAGAATAAAAAGTTTTACTAATATTTATATAATATCAATATTTAAAATAATTTATAAGACAACAATACTATTAATTTTTTAATAAAATTATCTAAAACTTGAAGTCATGAAAAGTTATTTACTTTCTTCAAAACACAAAAACAAAATTATCTGAACTGTAGATTGTTGATTTAGTTAAAATATATATGCACTTCAAGTCTTATAAATAAAAATAAACATGCATGTGCACACTCACAGTATATTAATAATTTTTGTGAGAGAGAGAGATAAGCAGTAACAAATATATCAGTACTAGCTGTAACCCGCGACTTCGCCCACATGGATTTTGCAAGCAAATACCATTTATATTCAGTATTTCAACAACCATAATAATTGTTATATAACACCTATTGCTGAGAATCAAACGAACTGTTTTCAATTTGATCAATTTTCTGAAACATTACGATCGTTCTATAATCGAACCAATATGCAATAACAAATTCAAATTTAAAAATGGTTCGAACATTTGATTAAAAAATCAAAATATATAAAAATATTTATAACAATGTCTGAAAAGTTGTCAATTTAATACACTAGGTACTCAATGAAGACTAAATGTAGTTGTAAACAAAAAATCACATCTAAAATAGTACAGTAGAAGCCATTCTTCCGATTAAGCCTTAATGCTCTTCCTCCCCTCATGGGAATTTCGAAAATCCTTTTTTAGTGTGCATTTTCATGGCGTATCCTAACTGTGTACCAAATTTCACCTCTATAGGTTCAGCGGTTTGTCCTGGGCGATGATGAATCAATCAGTCAGGACAAGTAATTTTATATATTTAGATTATCATCATCAAATTTTAGAACAATTTTTTTATTTTAAAAAATATTTTTGTTTTAGAACCGTGAACTTCAAATTATGAGAAGGTTGGACCATTGTAACATAGTAAAATTGAAATACTTCTTTTATTCCAGTGGTGAAAAAGTAAGTATTGTACCTCAGTTTATGAATGATATGATTTGTTATAGTTTGTTTTAAAAAGGAAAACTTTTTTTAGTTTTAAAATTTATCTTATTTCTTTATTTTGTAAAATTACTTAAATGTTTAAAGCTTTATAAATTTCATATACAGTATATAAATATTAGATTGGAATAAACTTTTCAAATAAATATGTCGCAACAATTTTGTAATGTTTTTGAATATATAGATAGCATTACTTTGAATACTATTTCAAATTTCAAATGAATTTATATTGTAGTATTTGATTTTGTATATTGTACATTTAATTTTTCTGTATCAATTTCTAAGGATTGAATGGTTTGAAATATCTTGTCTCCCTTTATCTAGGTCCTTCTTTTTATATTTGAATTCATTATGTACAGTGTTTATTATAGAACTTGAAGCTGTAAGTTACCCAAAAGGAGCTCTGAAGTATTTAAGAAGTAGAATATGATAGCAGTCTGAGGTGTCCTTCCAAACTTGTTTTGTTTATATGAGGTCTGTTCAAAAAATAACCAAACTTTACTTTTTTAATTTTTATTCTTCAAATTACAGATACTTGTCCCCTTCAAAGTACTCCCTTCCCCTATTCACACACTTATCTCAGCCATGTTTCCACTGTGCAAAGCAGTCCTGGTAAGCTTCTTTCAGAATGTTCTTCAATGCTAGTGATGAATTTGTTTTGATGTCATCAGTTGTGCCAAAACAGCATACTTTCAGCATCGATTTCAGTTTTGGAAACAAGAAAAATCTAAGTTCAGTCTGGTGAGTAGCGAGGCAGAAGGAGGACAGTCATTTGGTTTTTGGCACAAAACTGGTGAATTGACAAGGCTAAGTAGACAGGCGCATTGTCATGATGAAGGAACCTCGAGTTATCATGCCACAACTCTGGTCTCTTTTTGCAAATATTTCATGCAGCCATTTCAAAACACCTGAGTAGTACTGACAATTGACTGTTTGACTTTGAGACAAAAATTTAAAGTGCACAACATCATCGAAATTGAAAAAACATTGATGATCACTGTTTTTTTTCAGTTTTAATGGGGATAAGAGTGAAGTAATAAAAAAGTGTTTTTCTCTCTACAAAAAACTGGTTTGGATTTTTTTAACCTTTTAATTCTAATTCTACTTCATTTTTAGTAAATGTTTTAGAGTTGAGAAATTATTAGTACTCCATACATCAGAAAGGAAGAAAAATTTGAATTTTTGTGTACTTGCTTATAGTACAATAAAGTAGGAATGATCATCACCTTGACATTGAATTGAGACTGTAATTTTTATATATATATATTTCTGCAACTTGATGCATGTTCAATTTTTCTGTTAAAATGTCATGGCACAACTCTATTGAGATACCACCTCTTCTGAAAGTTCTCTGACAGTCAGAAAACAATTTGCACACACACCAGATCCTTGATTTTCTGAATGTGAGTGTCATCAGTTGAGGTTTACCCAATTCAAAAGTGGTCGTCAACTAATTGACGACCACTTTTGAATTGGGTAAACTATTTGTAACACTGTATATGACATAGAGCAGGGGGTTCTCAACTGGAGTCCAAGTAAAATTACTGTGGATTCACAGATGAATTGGGGTCCACAATGAAATTTTAGTGGTCTATAGCAGGGCTTCTTAAACTATGGGTCGCGACCCCATTTGGGGTCATGAGATTTTAATGCAAAATATTGAAAATAATTTGTGAGAGTTTGAAAATGGCACGCTTTGTGAACAGGCATATTTAATAAATCACTGCATATTGCACCAGAAGTGACACAAAGCGCACGTGAGTTGTGCTTTGTGTCACTTCTGGTGCAGCGAGACAACGATTCAGCAACACTGTAGTGTGAACTAATGTAGTGTTGTCGCTTTTCAGTGTATTCAGTTGTCTCTGTTCCATTGTAACACGAGTGAACTGTGGTAGTACACCATTATTGTTATTGCAAATTTGTATATATCTTTATTTTATATTTTTTTTTGGGTCGCGAAAAAAATCACAATCATAAATGGGGTCGTGAATAAAACAAGTTTAAGAAGCCCTGGTCTATAGGGTAATTCTACTTCAGATCAATTGTTTTACTGAAAATTAAATTTCTACAGTATATTGTCAATTTATTTATTACTCATTTCTTGCATAAGGGTTAAAATATAAATTATTTAAAATATTGAATATGTAAACGACATATACAGTGTTATCTCGATATATGTCTGCTTTAAAATACGTCCAATTCGGAATATATCCTGTTTGGATGAAACAAATTTTGTTTGGTATATGACTTAATTCAATTATACACACCATCAACGAACAAGTAGCACTATCAGTGTACTAGACCAGACTAGACGTTCGCGGTGCAACGGTTTATGGACTTTGTTAAATTGCTTTTGATTTTAATTTGTAAGTAAAATTTTATTATTTTTATTAATCATGAATCACAAAAAGACAAATGAAAAGCAACAGAAAATTTAAAAAAATGACTAGAATCACAATGGAACTGAAAAAAGAGATTGTTGAGAAATATGAAGGTGGCATGCATGTTTGAGAATTAACTGCTGCATACCGTATTCTGAGAACAACGATAGCGACAATCGTGAAAAATAAAGACATTATTAAATCTGCTAACGTTGCAAAAGGAGTTAAAACAATTTCTAAACTGAGAATGAAGACATTAGATCATGTTGAGAAATTGCTTTTGCTTTTGATAACTGAAAAACACTGTGTTGGCGACATCCTGTCAGAAGCAATTATTTGCAAGAAAGCTAAAAAGATACATGTTGATCTCATGAAAAATCAAGCAGGAACTAGCCAGGAAAGTGAGGTGTTTAAAGCCCACCATATTTTTTTTACTTGAGAATGGATTAAACATTTTTACATTACTTCTTATGGGAAAGGTTGGTTTGGTATACATCCTATTCAGTATAAGTCCAAACATCAGGAACGGATTAAGGTCGTATACGAAGGTTCCACTGTATGTCATTGACAAAGGTCAAAGAGAGATTATAAAACCGGGGTCTGTTAGGAGAATCTTATACCATCAGCGTTAATGTCACTTGACTGTAACATTTCTGAACATTTTGCGTCAGTTTGTTCCAGATCTTAAAGATTAGGGAGGGTGGTTATAAACTTTATAGCTTCCAGTATAAAGGTAATCAGTTTATTTTAACGCTAACCTTCAGTTCTGTGCAAAACATCTTGACAAGGTAAGAGGTATTAAAAGTGCTAGTTCATAAATGCATTAGTTACTTTTTCTGAAATTCAGAGCTTCAGTATTAAAATATTTTTCCAATTTGAAACAACGTAACAAAGAAATATAAAGTTTTTTTTCTGTGCAATGTATGGGGAATCCACAAAAAAAAAATTAAGAGGAAAAGGGGTCTATGGGTAAAAAAAAAGGTTAAGAACCCCTGGCCTAGAGCATTGTCTCCATAGGTTTGACTCAAAAGTTGAAATGTTTTTGTAAAAGTTTTTTCCAGTTTCACACACAACTTCACAACAATCACCATGAACATTGAAACTCCTTTCACTCAAAAAGTAACACAAGAATGAAACAAGGTATCAATCGAAAAAAGCAGCTTACTCAGAAGGTTATCACAAACATAGTGTTGCCAACTTCATGACACTAGGACACTTCGTTTCTGCCAAATGAAAAAGTTTGGTTATTTTTTGAACAGACTCGTATAGCCTACACTCTTCACATACTAGTACAGATTGCTATAATACAATATATCAACTCCAAGATTCATGATTCATACTATAATATACTTACTTATTGATACTCTATATGTTTTTCTTATAAATATTTTAAGAGATTTATTTTCTTAATAATAACTTTGGTGAAAAATAATAACTGTTTATGTACACTATTTAACAAAATTTACTCACCAAGGAGGTATTGGAAATGAATAATTAAGTCTTGGATTTTTGTGTACAAAACTCATGAAATATGTATGTAAATGTTATGAAAATCCTAAAATATGCACAAAGTACAATATATGTTTCAGAAAATAATTTTTTTATTTGTTGTCAGCTATGATTTATGTATAGTGGAACCCCAGTTAACGAACGTCCTGGTTAACGACCAAATCGGTTAACAAACTTTTATATTGTAAAAATTTTGTCTCGGATAACGAACTAACAGCTTTTTGTGTCAAATTTATAAGCTTGCCGACTTTTAGGGAAAATCAGTTAATTGTGTGTCGGTGATGGTCTAGGGTCCATTCATACATTGGTGGTGGCAGAGGAGACAAAAATGACAAGTATTTTACAGTGAAAATTGTTTATTAGAATGGGAAGATGCTTACATATTTGAGATAGTTGGAAATGGCTTATCTACAGTATTTTCTCTCGGCACTGAGGAGTGGCGTAACGCTGGTTCCTACGATAGTGCAAGCTGATCAGTCGTAGTCCAGAACGGACGAGATGGGTTTGCTTGGTCACAGAAGCGATAGTAGGTGATAGAGATGCAACGACTGGAGCGATGGTAGGTGATAGAGTGCAACGACTTCAGGCTTAATTCAGATGAAGACAACACAGATTAATCGCCATAGAATTTTTAGGAAAACTGCATTTGACCTTATGATTCGGGGTTTTTATAGTATTTCTTCCTTAAATCTCACCTTACAATTAGTCCTCCGTCCCGTTCCTTGCTTCCCGATTGTTTTCTTCTTTGTCTCCCGGTGAAAACCAAAACCAGATCAGGTCACGAGAAAGGTTTGTTCCGAGGTGTTTATTTGACACCTGTTCATTGACTCTGATCAGAGATTGTTGATAAACCTATAAGCATTTCGTTCATAATTTAGCCTATTGTTTCTGCTATTTGTCATTTAAGAACTTTAACGCTCGTATGTGATATTTTTATACTCATCAAATCTTTTCCCTTTTCCGAAAATTTAACCTAGATTGACTATTTGTGAGCACGTTTTCCTATATTTTCATTAAAGAAAACCCATTTTACAAATAAAATTACAAAAATACTGATGACTAGAACGGATTGATTGTATTTGCATTAATTTCTGTGGGAAAAATTGCTTCAGTTAACGATCAATTTGGTTAACGAACGGA